CAGAGCATGGTTTGCATTTAAGAACAGGGTTTTGTAAATGTAGTTGACACAAGAGAATGTGTGGAGGGAGTTAATATTTAGCAAGTTTAGAGATTTAAACAAGGGAGCTGAGTGTTGTCTGAAAGCAGAGTTAGTTATTATTCTGATAGCAGATTTTTGCTGTGTGATGATGGGCTTAAGGTGGTTTGCAGTGGTAGACCCCCATGCACAGATACCATAATTAAGATAGGGGTAGATTAGTGCATAATATAGTGAGAGGAGAGCAGAGTTAGGAACATAATATCTGATTTTGGAGAGTATACCAACTGTCTTAGAGACTTTCTTAGTTATGTGTTGAATGTGGGTGCTGAAGTTGAGTCTCTTGTCTAGGAATAGGCCAAGAAACTTGCCATCATTTTTATTACTGATGTTAATGTTGTCTATCTGTAGCTGAATTGCATTTGATGATTTGCTTCCAAATAAGATGTAGTAAGTCTTTTCGATGTTTAATGTTAGTTTGTTCGTTGACATCCATAAGTGGACTTTTTTTAATTCATTATTCACAACATTATTTAGTGTATGTGGGTTGAGGTTTGAGTAGATAAGGGTAGTATCGTCAGCAAACAATATAGGTTTGAGAATATTAGAGACATTAGGCAGATCGTTTATATATATAAGAAATAGAAGAGGTCCTAAGATGCTGCCCTGTGGCACTCCAACGGTAATTGGTAGAGTGGAAGAAGTTGTATCATTGATGGTTACATATTGGTGTCTGTCACTAAGATAGGATCGGATGTAGTCAAGGGCAAGGCCTCGGATTCCATAATGCTGGAGTTTAAATAAGAGGTAGTTGTGATTAACAGTATCAAAGGCTTTTCTTAGGTCAATGAAGAGTCCAATCGGAAACTCATTTTTGTCAAGGGCTGAGTAGATAATGTCAAGGAGACTAATGATTGCATCATTGGTACTCTTTTGGGACCGGAAGCCAAACTGGCAGGGGCTGAGTATGTCGAATTTTACGAGGTAGGAATAGAGCTGTTTGTAAATAATTTTTTCAAATATTTTTGATAGAATGGGTAGATTTGATATTGGTCTATAATTGTTTATGTCCGCCGGATTGCCTCCTTTATGGACTGGCGTTACTCTTGCTTTTTTGAGGATATCAGGGAAGGTGTGACACTCTATAGATTTGTTGAACAGTAGTGCTATGGGTGGGGCAAGGGCATGGGAGGCTCTCTTGTACACAATGGACGGAATTTCACTGGTGTTCCCTGCCTTGGTTTTTAGAGAGTGTATGATGGACACAACATCTGCCGGGCTGATTGGTGAAAGGAGAAGAGAGTTTGGATAGCTGCCTGAGAGATATGTGTTAATATGTGTCTGAGTCTGTGGGATTTTACTGGCAAGATTAGCACCAACCGATGAAAAGAAACTATTAAATTCATTTGCCATTTCTAAATCAGTTGACGGTATATCCCCATCCTTGTAGAGTTTTATTTGATTATGTGAGTGTTGTTTAGTTCCTAGGATACTAGAGATAGTTTTCCAAGTGTTTTTCATGTTGCCTTTTGCTTCATTGAATCTATTCACATAATATGCAAGTTTTGCCTTTCTTATGATACTGGTAAGCATTGATGAGTACCTTTTAGCTACTTCCTTTGAAACTAGGCCAATCCTAACTTTCTTTTCATATTCATGTTTCTTGTTGATTGAGTTGAGAATGCCATTTGTGAGCCATGGATTGTTTAATCTTTTGTCAGTTACTTGCTTTGTAAGAAGGGGACAATGAAGGTTGTAGAGGCTTAGAGTTTTGGAGAGGAAGAGGTTAGCTAATGAATTTATATCATGGGTATTATTGAATTCAGAATCCCAGTTAATATTGTGAAGTGCCTCTGTAAGATTGTCTAAAGCTGATTCACTGTGTAGCCTAAATGAAAATTTCTTGCTTTTTGGTGGTGTTATGTCCATGTTCGCTATGAGAAAGGTAGGATAGTGGTCAGTTGTTCTGTCGTAGATTATACCAGATACAAGGGGAGCTGTTATGTTTGTCCATATGTGGTCCAAGGTAGTGGCTGATGTTTGAGTGACTCGGGTAGGTTTGGTGATAGTGGGGATTAGCATACAGGAGTTCATGCTGTTAAGGAAATAGTCAACTTGAGAGCAGTTTTGTTGACCCAGGTCAATATTAAAGTCTCCTCCCAGAATGATGTGGTTTTTGTTGAGATTGTTGTTTATAATAAGATTCCTTAGGTTGTCTGAGAAAGAAGCTATGTTAGTATTGGGAAATCTATAGATGGCTCCAATAGTCAAAGAGGATTTAAGGGATTTAATTGTAAACTGAGCAAAAGTATATTCACAGTAGTCATCTCTGTCACTAATAACACTGTTGCAGATAAATGTATCTCGGTAATATATAGCTGTGCCACCACCTTTTTTATTAGGCCTACAGTTATGAATGGCTTTATAACCAGCTAAGTTGTAGAGTTGGGTATAGTCTTTATTTAGCCAAGTTTCTGTTAAAATAATGAACGATAGGTTAGTACCTAGTGCTGTGAGTAGTGCATTTAAATCGTCAAAATGTTTACCAAGTGATCTAACATTTTGGTTATAAACTGATAGATAGGTGCTATTTTGGAGTTTGTTTTTAGCCTGGTGTGCTGTGAAATACTTACAATAATGATGATCAATGTGCTGGTTGGTATAGATATGAGACAGAAGATTTTGATCAGGATCAATATCAGTGTGCATAGAGATGCAGAGGGATCACGATACAAGATACACGATAAAGCAAAACACAAGAATAAGAGCAGATACAATAAAATAGTAACAATTTAGAAGTAAAATAAAGATCCAATAGATAGCCAGGGAGGACACAGAAGTTACATAAAATAAAACACAAAAAATCAGTAGAGACTGACAATATAAATGTAAAATAAAAATAAGAAAAATAATAATCATAAAAAAATGATCTTGAAGATAATTAGCTTAGTAATAGTTAATTAACAGGGTAATAAAAAGCCCTAGGTTTAGTGACAAGGGGATTAACTAAGAACAAATAATTAAGAGTATAAAACAGGCAAAGATGACAAACAAAAAATAAAGTAAAAATTAAAATAAAAATAAAAATAAACACCTTTGGAAAGGAAAGGCAGAGCTTCAGTACACTTTGGTTGTATGTGAGACTACAAATTATGTTCTGGTTATTCAGCTGATATCCCACAGTCATCCAGGAAAGAAGTTAATCTTTATTGAATCACAGAACTCCCATGACAAAATCCCTTGCACTTGCAATATCCCCAGCAGGGTAAGACATATGGGCAAGTCTCCTTACACCCATTGTCTCTGTTCAAATAGCAGTGATCAGGAACCTGGGTGTCAGTCAACTGATGTGGGTCGTAACCTGGGGAATAGTCAAATGCTGCATATATCCGAGGTACATTAATTTCCCATAAATGCAGCAAGGCAGCACGAGGAACATAGCCGGTAGACTACACGTGAAATTTGCCAGACGGCAAAGAAACTAGAGCCGCAAGGCCACTGCAATGAGTGGGCTGGAAGGTACCAGAGTCCAAAAAAGGGTTCACACCCAAAGTCAGTGGGGGTTCACGCCCAAACTACTGCCTGTCTACATTAATGTTGTGCTCAGTACCACCTAGACTGGAGTAAAGGCTTACAAACAAGACTAGGCAGGCCTAAACCTCTGAAGGAGGCACACTTGTAATGTCCCTTATCCCACAGTACAGAGAAATCCTCTTCAACCTTACTCCCACACAGAACAAATAAACATGGACAGGACTAAAGTTGCAAATCACAGATTAAACAAGAAGAGCCAGTACACAAGAGAAACAAGGACTGATCAGAGTTAAAATCCCAATAGTCGAAGCAAGTCTTCCATATAGCCAGTTCAGCAGCACATTTATTCTGCGTTCTCACGCTGCCCCCCAGAGGAGCCCAAATTATTGTACGGCAACCGATTTTCTGAAAATCATTCATCAGTCACCAATCTCTTGCATTGTACTCGCAAATATGATGCAACCTTCTGGCTAAATTATGTAACCAATTTACTCACCAAGTTTGGGACACTTTGGAAGTCTAACTGCCCCCAAACTTAATAATGTACACCATCTAATTTGCAAAATTTTTTTTTTTTTTTTTTTTTTTTTAAGATATATATAATTGTTACATTCTTGTACAGCCACTAGTACGCGTAGCGTTTCGGGCAGGTCCCTGGAATACGATCCCCTGCCACGAAGAATCGTCTATCCAGAACCACCCTGGTCATAACTGCATCAGCCAGTGCAAAGATCTTTCCTCCTCCAGCCCACCACCTGCCTAATATATCTCAAAATATACCAGGCAGGTGGTCCAATGATCCAAACAGGCACTCTACAAGCGTTTCTTTGCACTTTAATACCTGGCGAGTGTAGGGACCAAGGCATATCTCCCACCAGTCTCACCGAATTGTTTACAAGTACCTTTGTGTAACAAATCAGTCTCCGTGGTGTAGTGGTAAGACACTCGCCTGGCGTTCCGCGAGCGCTATGTCATGGGTTCGTATCCTGGCCGGGGAGGATTTACTGGGCGCAATTCCTTAACTGTAGCCTCTGTTTAACGCAACAGTAAAATGTGTACTTGGATGAAAAAACGATTCTTCGCGGCAGGGGATCGTATTCCAGGGACCATAGGATTAAGGACTTGCCCGAAACGCTACGCGTACTAGTGGCTGTACAAGAATGTAACAACTTGTATATATCTCAAAAAAAAAAAAAAAAAAAAAAAATGTTTGAGGCAGGTAATGCCCCCCCCCTCACACACCATTACAACGCTTAAGGACTGTTTAAGGGCAAATTAAGTGGCATGCACTTTCAGGAGGGAAGAGAAGGATTATCTAAAGACCAAAGGTTCCATCTCCGCCAACAGCACTGAAAATGATGGCAGTCGCCTTCATGAAATGCTACACTTAAATAGCAAAACTTAATTTTACACTATTCATATAACAAAAGGTGTAATTAAATCTATTAGAAAGCAATAAGTTTATTTTATACAAATTCACAGCAAAAGATACAATTGTACGAGAACATAAGGGTCTATATAGCAAGCAACCACGTCTAACAAGCACCCCTCCTTAAATGTAGTACTGTACTTTATAATGTAATTTGGTAACAAGTATATCTACACAATTATATTCCACCTACAGAGCACTAACACATTCATATAATATTTAAATTATTTATGTAACTTATTCACTTTAAAATACCATTCCTAAAAACTTGAGTATTGTTATAAATATATATATATACTGTATATAAAAAGCAAACTCCTACAAGGTACACCAATCTGTACCGGGCTGCATTCTAGTTTTACTACTAAAACATGCACCTGCCATGCACTTCCTGTCTACATAAAGAATGCATCAGACTAATCCCTTTTCATCTAGAAATTCAAATTTACAATTTAATGTTATGCAGTACTGTACTTATGAAATTTTGCAAGACACTTGCAATGCAACATTAATAAAGCATCCTTGATGAACAAATGTTCACAACTATAACCATCACAGGTGCACAAGAACATTTACGAGGTCTAAGCATAATCAAGTCTTCAACCTTTAACAAATAGTTTGTCAGTTATAATTTTACTAACGAAAAAGTAAATTACTGTCCATAGATCCAAGTTTATTACTTTACCCCCAAAACAGGCTTCTTCATCTACATTTTTGCAGGGTATCAACAACATTTGAATGGTATACTTCATTATAAAATACTAAGACCTTATCACTAGAAACTTTGTGCACATAGTGGAATGATGCCACTTGCCATGCTCATCGACGCATCACTGTACGAGAGCCAGGTCATATACCTTGCCGACTTTCACAAGGTGGAGACCTTGCATGCTTTAAAATGCTATCATATTTATAGTAGACATTACATCTAATAAAAGCTACACTAAAGTAATTTAGCTGCTTCATTTATAAGTAATCAGAAGGAACCAAGCCTGGATGCTCAACTTATAAATATAGAATTTAAGTTATGTATTAACCAACCTTGCCAAAACCATTTATACATTTTAATGCATGAAACTAGTACAGTACATTCTTTGGTTTATATAATATACAAGCTGCTTATGAACCAAATTATGCACAAACTAGAATAAAATTTATACGAATGACAAGTGATACATGGCATGCTAAAGTATAGTTTCAATCTAAATGGTTTAAAATGTCATGTTACACAACTCATACACCAGTATTAATCAAAATTATACAAAGTATTTCCCTTTGATACAAACTAAATGGAGCAAAGGGATGTAAAAACTTCTGTAAATCTTTCCTGTGTGTTTACATTAGAGGAAAACACAAAAATGCCAGAAAGCTTTGAGGGAATTAAGGGTCCTGTAACCAGTGACACTATTAGGGCCGTTATATTTCCATGGGAAATTTGCGAACCAAGATTTAACCGTAATGAAAGTAATGTACCATTTTGAAGAGGTCTGGAATAGTAATACTGCAGAGGTTAGGTTACGAGTTTAGCCTTGTACTTTAGTAACTAATGCAAGTAAATGGGGCACATCTAGTCCTTTGAGCATCGTCACCTCTCTATCAACAAACAATTTAACTACTGCACTGTAATTGGAAGTTAATTTATTTGCCGTCACACTAAACAAGAATAATTTTATCACTGATTATTCATTTGCTTATAAGTGTAGCACGATTTTTTAACATTGTAATCATGGGAAGCAAAAGACATTACTATATCTTAAAAATACTCTAGTCCATGCATTCAATTTTCCAGTTAGGCCAGAAAAATGTGCAAATTTTTTTTTTTACTTTTTTTTTTTTTTACAAAACCAACAAAACTTCAGGCTTAACAGTGTCCTTAGAATCTGTAAATGTCATTATACCCATGAAACATGGTAAATGTTATGAAGTGCAGACAAGTTAAAAATTCTAAGTTAAAAAAAACAGTAATTTCACCATCTACTTGGTATAATATTTTAGTGTTAAATTTCTTCGGTAACATAAGCTGTACAAAATGGCCAATTTTGATTCAATTTCCCTACTGCCTCACCTTATACTTTATCAGTGAGAACTATTAAGGGAAATAATTTAAACTTCACCATCCTTGAGCAACTTCAATATTTATATTTCTTCAATATTTTCCTTATTTGGTTTTACATCATCTGCTGGCAGCTCTGGTTTGCTGCAAGGCTCTTCACCACTTCTGGCTGGAAAAAAAAAAAAAAGGGAAAATGAATATAAATTTATCTGGAAAGGTGTACAACTAAACTATAGTAGAGCTGCTTATGAGAATTCAAACTAAATAGTAGAGGGGATGCAATACCATGGATATATAGTTTACATTTGTCTAAAAGTAATTTTATTATAAAAAGTCCTTTAACTAAATTCCAAGTTACCAAGTACTGTATGGCAATACAATGTACAGTAATTACAATTTCAACACTTACACGTCACGAGGGGGGCAATTATAACCAAGAGAAAACACCACGGTACTATTAACTACTTTCGTGCCCTCTACTCGGTTTGTGCCATCATTTGTAATACGAGTTGTGCAACATGAACTAGTTCTGCTGGCAGCAACAATCCATCTCTGCTACAGTATAGAATTCAATTCCTCATGAAGTTCATGTAAAGGGTTGGCAAAGTATTTAGTGCGAAGGTGCTGACTGCACAACTAATGAACCAAAGTATGGCAACGAGCATGATGGGATAAGATGCAGATCCGAGTATGACGAAGATGTCTTAAGAAGCACGGTTATCATTTGTCTGAATGATCAACTGTAAAAGATTTGATTCGGGACAGCAAATTTATCCCACTCTGCTTTTCCAATAGTTAAACATGGGGGCAAAGCAGGAATATTTTGCATCCCCTCATCCCCAGGGGAAAACGGAAACTACTAGTGGACACCAAGGAACTAGATGCAACAAATGAAGCTAGAATGCACTATTGTATGGCTTCTAAAGGAGGTTGCAGGGGTACTCTACTATTTTAGTAATTCTAATTTAAAGAGTCTGGTGCACTATGTGAAAAAAAAAATTAAAATTCACTCATGGATGTCAACCAACAAACTTAAACATAGAAAAGCCCTACATTTTATTTGGTAATCAAACCAGATTCAACTTCAGATAATGTTAACATGGACAATAAAAATGAGGAAATTCCTTGACTTACATAAACAAAAGAACTTTAGCACCTACATACAACACTGGCCCCCCCCCCCCCCCCAAAAAAAAAAAAAAAAAAGTATACTTTCTAAAATCAGAGATTGTCCCCCACTCTGCTCACTTCATTAAACTACACACCAATCTATCCCTAGCTTACATACTGCATCTATGCATGGGGGTTCAACTACTGCAAATTACCTCAAGCCCATCACTGAAAAAAATCTGCTACTGAATCAGAACTAACTTCAGACAACACATCCCCTCTGTTCAAGTCCCTTAACATGCTAAACACACTCGCTCCACACATTCTTGTGTTATCTAGTTGTACAAAACCTTGTTCCTAAATGATAATCTTTATCCAAACTTTTCCTTCATAGGCTAAGACAACCCACGAGCACCACACCAGAAATAAATATCCCCGACATCAGAGTCAGACTAAACCTGTGCACACACTCCATGCAAATAAAATGGTCCAGTCTTTTGGAAAACTCTCCATGATGAATTAAAAAAATTGTCCAACCCATGCCCTATTCAAATAAAAGACTAAAAAGTACCTAATTTCATCCTCAGTTTCCTACCTTGTGCTTCAAACTATCTTTTACTACCCACTTCCCCAATATTAGTACTTTAGACATATCCTTACCAGTGTAATCACCTCTGTCAACTTACATTTTCATTATTTGTCGATATAAAACCTTGCTACAACATGCTTTTCCACCTTACCTGACATGTTGGATTTAGGACTTGTCCAAAACACTATGGGTACTAGAGGCTTTAGGGATATTATGTACTAGCTCTATCTATAAATCGAACATTATGTTTGTAACTAATCTTATGTATGTACTTTTACCTGAATAAACATTTGATTTATGTAATCTCACCAACCCATTGTACCTTCTTGCATAAATATTATTATTATTATATTTTATTATTATCAGTATTAGTCTGAAATATTACAATTACTAATAATGACAATTATTACCACTTATTATTATTAGTAATGGTAATGTCTTCTTATGGACATTATAAAATAGGATAACCCCCCCCCCCCACTTGTGGGCACATGAATTTATGTAAAGAATTTACACTAAGTCTTTCACACTCTCCCGAGTGCTTTGTCAAGGTCCGAGTGTGCGATTAGGGTGAAACTTGCATCTCAACATCTAATGGTTAGAAGTCGAGATGCAAGTTTCGTCCTAATCACACTCAGACCTTGACAAAGCACCCCAGGAGTGCACGAAAGACTAAATTCCTTACAAAAATTTCACAAATGCACAAGTGTGGGTTTATCCTATTATCATAATCCTCAAGAAAGTAACTGGTAGTACTAAATGTAGACCGAACTCTACCGCTGTGCAAAGTATTGTACGGTAGAAGAAATTAAGGCAGCTATTTGAGGGGTAGGGAGGAGAGGATACAATTTGTTACCAATTTCAAAAGCAAAACTGCTATTAACAGGTGGTTATTTCTGTACAAGCAAATCAAATTCAAAGTCAATGAACATGCATACCATACAATGATTACCACATTTCCCACTAGTATGGGGGTGCAGAGGCATCAGCCTGGAGGGGAGAAGAGTTCATATAGTTTCCAAAGCTCTAGTTTAGTATATCAGGTCAACTAGTCATTTGTATAGAAAAACCTATTGGCCCATATGAGGTAGCCATCTAATACATCCAAACTCATTCATTTGCAAGCCTATTTGCCCATAAGGAGACAAGTAGGGGGCTGCCTCGTATGGATAAATAGGCTTTCTGCAGTCCCTATAGTTCTTACCGATACCGTTTATGTACTGTATACTATATACACGTGCAGATATATATTAATTGTAGGCAAACATTATATCCTCATAGTAATTTACTCTTATGTTTTTCTAAATAACATGTACAGTACATGAATCAATTTTAAATGCTACTATAGTGAATGAAAATGAAAAATAAAAAACCACCCATGGTCATCACTGGATTCCTCTGGCATATGCCACTTAAGATGCAATGTTCGTTGCTGACCGATCTGGTTCTGTGCACCCCTTACCAACCTTTTATACCTCACTAGTAAATATGTCGATATTTACATTTACTTAAAGTTTTCCCCTTCACTTTGCATCCAAGTTATTCTACAAGAAAAACAAATTGACATTTTCTTGTGCACGGGCAGATATGCATGAACATCCATAAAAGATCCTACAAGTTTGGAATTATGTTGGCAAGCTTCCATACAGCTGCAGCACCTTTGGTTTATTATGCATTTGAATATTAATAATTCAGGATTAAGTTACCTTTCCCTTATATTCTTCACAAGTTCTACTTTTTGTTCTACTTGTTCTACTTGTGTACTAGCCCACCTGTTTTTATCCAATTCCTCAGGGTGTATGTACCGCTTCAGTAAGTACCGAATCTTCTAGTGTTTTATCTCGTGTCTCTGACTTCACTGGCCGAGATTTGGAGATTTTTAACCTCAATTTCTCACACCCCTTTCTCATTAAGAAGGCCATCCTTTCAGTGGTAACTGGGTCTAATTTTGTGCCCTTATCTTTTGCACATTTAATGTCTAATAACATTAATGTACCAATTCTTTGGCATCTTTAGTACATCTTTTTATCTTTTACTATTACTTCCCTACTTTTTCCCATATCTTGGTAAAGTATCTCCACCCTGTCTTTAAAGGCAATTGGCAACTAAAGTAAAAGAAATATACACAGAATAACCAAACTATAATATCACTCACGCAATTCTGCACCATTTGAGTCCGCAGGTGTTGGTAAAGCCTCTCCAACCTGCAGTGTGAGGAGTCCATCAACATCCTCCAGCTGATGGGAGTCAAACATGATGTTCAGCGTACGCTCACCACTTATGCTTGGCAGAACTGTGAACTCGCACCTCACCTCTCCTTTAACTGGGACATTCCTGAAAACCATAAGGAAAACTTGTGCAATGAGGAACCATCAGAAACAGTAGGTAAAGAAAAAATGTCATTCAAGTTCACCGCTATGAATTAATCAATAATTCATTGTGTCGGGGGACAGGAAGCCAGAGTGTATTCACACATTTTGGCTTTTACCCAGTCCCTGCCCCCCCCCCCCCCTTCCCATTTAGCATTTACTATCAAGAAGTTATAATTTGTATAAGCATTTAATTTTTAAACTACAATAAAGCTAGTATTCTCAACCCTTTGGCTTCAGCACCAATGAGCACCCAGAACGGTACTACAGTACCAACAACACTAGACAAATGGCGAGCAGGCGAGAAACTGACTATAGCAGTTTAATATTTCAATGATAGGAAAACCAAAAAATATTTAAAGTGAACAAGGGACACCATCCCCTTTAAATATTTAAAGGGAACAAGGGTTTAAACAGTTATAAGCACAGCAATAAAGAAAAAATTTGCCAAATTAACCCAGCATCCTCTATTAGAAGCAAAGCCTAATCAGGATTTCCCTGCAAAAGGATCAAGAAGTGTGCTTTCGGGGAAGGAGGGAAAGAGGGAGCAAGAGTGACAAGATGCTTTACAGGAGGAAGTGCTTACAACCAACCTTATGCAAGCAAGGTCAGTTGTAGGCTAGTGAGAGCCTGCACTGTAGCATTCCACCAAGGTGTCTAGAAAGGTACACAAAACTAATACCTTTCCTCATTCATCAATTGAAAGTGCCTTTGCACAACAGTAGTTTAATTTATTACAAAGTTAACATACTATAAAGCACAATTTAATTTCCTATAACCAAACTATTTAACAGCATGTCTTCGAAGTCTGTTTCACTATCAGCTGCCCCTCAAACAGCTAGTTCATAATTCTGTACAAGTGTAACGTTCATTCGTGCCTTCCAATAATAATCTACTCAAACCTCAACCCACATACACTAAATAATGTTGTGAATAATGAATTAAAAAAAGTCCACTTATGGATGTCAACGAACAAACTAACATTAAACATCGAAAAGACTTACTGCATCTTATTTGGAAGCAAATCATCAAATGCAATTCAGCTACAGATAGACAACATTAACATCAGTAATAAAAATGATGGCAAGTTTCTTGGCCTATTCCTAGACAAGAGACTCAACTTCAGCACCCACATTCAACACATAACTAAGAAAGTCTCTAAGACAGTTGGTATACTCTCCAAAATCAGATATTATGTTCCTAACTCTGCTCTCCTCTCACTATATTATGCACTAATCTACCCCTATCTTAATTATGGTATCTGTGCATGGGGGTCTACCACTGCAAACCACCTTAAGCCCATCATCACACAGCAAAAATCTGCTATCAGAATAATAACTAACTCTGCTTTCAGACAACACTCAGCTCCCTTGTTTAAATCCCTAAACTTGCTAAATATTAACTCCCTCCACACATTCTCTTGTGTCAACTACATTTACAAAACCCTGTTCTTAAATGCAAACCATGCTCTGAAACTCTCCCTGGACAGATGTAATAGGACCCATTATCACCACACCAGAAATAAATATCTCTTTGATATCCCCAGGGTCAAACTTAATCTGTGTAAACACTCTATGCAAATTAAGGGACCTAGTCTATGGAACTCACTCCCTAGTGAATTGAAAAACTGTAAAACTTTTGCCTTATTTAAAAGCAAAACCAAAAAGTACCTAACTTCATCTATTTAGTTTCCTACACCGAGCTTTAAATTTGCTCTGTACCTAGTGTTACCCAATCTCCTAATTTTTATGTAATATCAAACAACCTTATCATTGTGTTCATTGCTGTCTTCTTTTATGTGCTAGCCATATGCTGTATTGTGACTACCAATTTTTGTCAACTACCATTCAAGCTGTCATTGCAATCAATCTTATATTGTTTCTGCTGTATTGTGCCTACCAATTTGTTGTCAACTACCATTTTAAGCTGTCATTGCAATCATAGCTACCTATGTGCTTTAATATACTGTACCTATAATTTTCTCTCATCTTTTTTTTTCATTCCATGTAATCTGTTATTTTTTGTCTATAAATTTTGCAAGTATTTACCTCCTTAAAATGTTCTTAGATTAAGGACCTGCCCGAAACGCTGCGCGTGCTAGTGGCTTTACAAGACTGTAATTACCATATTTGTATCCTCACATTCCTTATGTACATTCTTGTATATGCATAAATAAATAAATAAATTGTGTTATTCCGGAGACTTGGGACAGATGCGGGAACTGTTAGAGTATTCAGAGCCATGTCCTTCCCAACACACTGGGGGTGGGGGGATAATTTTACCAAATACCCCACTACTCCGAATACAAGGCCAAGCCAAGTGAAGAAGCGGTGTCTAGTCAACACGTCATTCAAAAGAGTTCAGCATCTCTGGCCAGCCTTTCCTAAAGCTCCAATTTACGACCAAGAAATCTACAGTAAATAAACCGGTATATATAAATTATGGTAAGTAGTGGTACTTACTGTTTTAGTTTAATGACTTGCACTTTAGTTAGACCAGCACCCTGCACAGTGAAGTGTCCCTTGGTGAGTGCCATTGGAAGAGGATTGGTGAAGTAAGCTGCACACTTTGTTTCCTTGTTCACAGCCATCTCTCCTTCATACTGCAAAAATAGACACGATTTGATCACATAGGCAGTTGAAAAATATTCCTAATAACGACTTTTGTATCAAAGGTTACCGACATGAAGACAATGTTCAAATATTTAATATACTGTATGTAGAATATTATATTTTAATCATATCACCATGATGTATTCTAAGCAATGTGTAAAAGTATCCTTTTATATTGTAGCTCTTGTGAATGGTAAAAGTTTTTGAAATTCAGGGATCTTTTTACACAGTGCCTACTGTATGTATATTAGTTAATTTCAGTTTGATTAGCAAGTACAAGACCTTGCTCTTTGAAGAGCACCATACTGGAAAATAGATCATTAATGACCAACTGGTACAAGACTAACACATGCCTCCCCATAGCCCCAAAGCAACCTCCAAACCTAACCTAATATGACCTTCCCAATCATGTTAAAGACTGTACCCCTCTCAACCAAGATAAAAACGAAGCACTACTTAATAAATTCCCTGTAACCTACCTTACCCTTGTATTGTCAACCCATGTCTTTTTTTTAAACACCGCTGTTCGTCGACCTAATTATATTTGTGCTGCTTTTTTCCAGCCATGTTCCCCCCTTTCTTTTATTTGTTCTCAACACATTTTATACTTTAAACTCGATTAGTATCAAGTTTTAGTCTTTAATGTTTTTCCTGCCCAAAACGCTTTGTGTAATGGTGGCTTTAGGCATTGTATGTACCAGCTCTATCTATAAACCTAGCAATTTGTAAAAATCTCTTATGTACCTTACCTAAATAAATAATAAATGTTTATTCATTTTATTTATTATTTATTTATACAAAATGTTCCAAGATCTAGCAAGTTATGAGACCCAATCTGGCCCACCTTCAAACCATCAATGTGTATACTTGCTTCCTATGCTGCTATAAGTTTCTTGCATTATGTTTGTCATTGTAATACCAGTGCTCGTTGTAGACATCAAGATTTGTGTAGTTTAGCCCAATACTATATAAATATATCACTAGGCAAACATGGGAGCCATTAAATGTTGCCCATAACTATAAAATAGAATTGTAGTTTCCTGGCATGATCCTAATACCTTTTAAGGGTTCCACCTCAAGACTATTATTATCAGGACACTCCTGGTCACAGAATTATTCGTTTTTCTGGGTTCTTTATTTCTTAAAATTTCAGTGACCTGAGCAATGAAGAAACTAATTTTATCTTTCAGCATATATCACGCAAATCAACATTGACACAGCTATGGTGCTTTCATTTATATACAACTACTGCAATGTCACCATTTGCAAGATTATCATAGCCAATACACACACATCACAGTAACATATCCATTAAAAAATCCACAGCAGTGATGAAGATTCGAACCTATGCACTGGGTATTCCCCCAGACACCCTCTGGATGACCAAGCCACAACGTGAAAATAGAATTGCAACCTGGAGTTTTTTGTTTATTTCTTACCAAATCCAATGTCTGATTTTTCCTGCACTCACTACATGCTCTGCACTTTCCCTGCCATCCACAAGTCAGACCACGCTAAACTATAATGCCAATCCTGATCTCAAAAGCTTCATAGAAGGTTGTATCAGAACCCATGAGCATCACACCAGAAATAAACACAGTTTTGATATTCCTAGAGTACGACTTAAACTAGAAATGCTCTACAAATCAAGGGGCCCAGAATGTGGAATGACCTTCCCAACCATGTTAAAGACTGTACCTCTCTCAACCAGTTTAAGTTAAAAGCGAAGCTATACCTAATAAATTCCCTGTAACCTACCTTACCCTTCTATTGTCAACCAATGTCTGTTTTTTTTCTTTAAAGAGCGCTGTTTGTCGACATAATTGTATTTGTGCTGCTTTTTCATCTATGTTTTCATTTCTTGTTTTCATTCTACTCATTATGCTCAATTAGTATTAAGCTTGTCATTTAAGTTTATCATGCCCGAAACGCTTTGCGTAATAGTGGCTTTAGGCATTGTATGTACTAGCTATACCTATAAGTCAAACAATCCTTGTAAATATTTATTGTATGTATGTACCTTACCTAAATAAAATTGTATTGTAAAACTGTATTGTTGTATTGTTATCAAACTACTTCATTCCAATCCTCAAGAAACTGTCTTGATGGTATAGCATCAAGATTACAAAACCATGAGAAAGTCAACCTTCGAGGAATTATGATGCACAATTAAAGAAATTTTAAGAATGTAGTTTAATCAAATTAATCTTCCCCCCCCCCTCCCCACAAGCAATTTCCTTTTTCAACCCACCTCAATTTTTATGTCGGGTTTCCTGCAGCGGAAGTCATCTTGAGCGAAGTACTCAAAGCTAGTTTGTTTGACATTGGCAAGACAGGAAAGGTTGAAAGCACACTGATGCACCAGCTTCTTGTAGTATTCATCAAAGCTCACATCCATCACCACTGTCTCCTCTTGAGCATTAATAAAAAAAAAAAAACTGTCAATTGTCTGAAGTAAATGAACTTTAGAACCTGCTTGCTAATAATTAAAGCGTAAGGATGGAATGTTTACTTAACATTTATATTTAGTACACCCGTAAGTAAATTTATATAGCACATGTACCATTAGGAATAACTGAAAAATTATACAAAGGCTGAGGGCAAAGTTAAACATTACAAACTAAATATTCTTATGAAGATGCAAATGCTCTATATCTCATTTTTACAACATTAGGCAATATTTTTCTTAAATACTAAGGCATGGCAGTAGACCGAGACACAGACAATAGAGTTAAAACATTGTAAATTCAAAAGATTTGCAAGAATAGATCATTTGCACAGTTATGTATACAATACACTTGTATAGTATACAAGTACAAATACTGTATTAAGAGTAGAACTTTCTGGCAGATATTGAAGTAGCAAAATAAGACTTGCCCGAAGTGATTCAGCCAGGAGACCATGAATTTAACAAAAACAGTAATAGACATAGGCCAAAAAAGGTAGATCTAGGGAGTAAAAGACCCTTCCATATAAAGAACAATCGGCACATGGAAGCATCTTTAATGTTTAGAATATCTGCAGTAAATTCTGTACAAGAATGTAGGTCCAATTCTTTCTTTGCATCAAGTTAATTTATTTGGTTACGCAAAAAATCGTCATCACCGACAGTTTGCTACGCAAATTAAAAATAAGACATACTTGATTTCGGCTTCATTGAAATATCTATCTTATGCTTCTTGACGAGGTCCTTTGTAACACCAGTGTACAGCATGGTGTCTGCTCTTAGTAATACCTCCACATCGTATTCCTTGTCGCTCTTATTTTCCACTACCACTGAAGTCCTGTCGACAATGAAACAAAGATGACCATGAAAATTATAAGTACCTGTATTAAATATTGCACATCACTAATTTTATCCAAACGTTATGCCATCTTCAAGCGAGCTCTGCAGCTAACCGAGGCAGTCAAAACTGCTTAAAACCATGCTGTGGCACATTTCCATATATTTATCATGGCCTTTGCAAATGGAATTTTAATACTGTACTCTAGTAGCAGTACAATTAAAACAAAATTAAAGTACTGTATACACAAAGGTTGATAGTACACATGATTTATTATGCAGACAAGGAGTCACAATAACGTGGCAGAAATATGTTGACCAAACCACACTAGAAAGTGGGGGACAATGACGTTTCGGTCCTTCCTGGACCATTCTCAAGTCTCTCAATTGACACGAGAATGGTCCAGAACGGACCGAAATGCGTCATCCCTTCACTTTCTAGGGTGTGGTTTGGTCAACATGATTTATTACTTACGTAAAGGGTTCACCAATAATTATATCGTCATTCAATTGGAAATCGAACTCTACATCCTCCAACTCCTCATTCAGGTAGTATCTGGCAAAGATGTTCTCGCACATCCTAAGGGCATTATGCATCACAGTACGCTCCTCTGATGAATCTGTCAAGTGTAGGGTATTGCACATTTATTCAAACAATTTGGAAAGTATGACTTGCACATCAATTTTTATAGCAATTTCTGTACATTAAGGTACAGTTATTTTAAGAGATTAAATGAAAGATGAATGAAAAATTTAACTTATTTTTAAATCTATCCTCAATAAGATTTTCACGACTGTCCAAAGAAGATGTAACCAAGTTATGATTGTTTTGCTCAACAGAAATGAACATTGAGAAGTATACAGGGAGTACACATTCTAGAAAAGCACAAATTCCCATACCTTCTTCAAACTTGTATAGGTGAGTAACGTCCTCTCGCATGAACTTGCCTACTGCTTTTGTGCTCACAAACTGGCCAATGCTAGACAAAGCCAAAGTGGTACAAAGTATTAAATCATACCTACAAAGTGTGAAAAGTAAATCCACAGTACAATATATGTATAGCCATTTTCCATCAAGAATTTGTACTATTAATATTATAGATCAATATATACAACCAATAAACCATTTGGCACAAACTCACCCTCCTGTCTTGCGTCCCAGGAGCTTCATAGGTTGGCTGTCGCCACGGTATTTCCAGAAGAGCTTGTCAGCATTTACCTCGGAAAAGATGAAGGGTACATCATACGGTCGCTGAATTTGCCCATTCTTAATAGCAGCTAAAGATGCTGGTCCACAGCGATACTGACCTGTAGAAATAAAGATATATTCCCACTTTTATGCCATTTCTAAAAGATTTCATAAAGAAAGCCAGGAACATTACTACAAACCAATTCAATGTGGAAATTCTCCCCTGAATGAATAGACAGAATCCAATCATTGAAACATGGGGAGGAAGAGAAGAATTATAATTTAAGGGGAATGCCATATTTCAGGATACCACCCACCTTTCAAAAAGGACAGAACCAAAACAGGTGCCATAATGCTGTATATAAAAAGGTCTAATGCAACTAGCAAGGATGAATTAAACACTTAGATCCTCAGAATCTGAATGGTGCAATATACGAGCTGAAAATGGTAGCAAACTGGTAGTGGGAGTACGTTACAGGGCAGACCCTTCAAGAGCAGAGAAAGTTACTGATCTGCATAATGTGATCAATGCTGCAGCACAATCCCAAACAATTATAATGGGCAATCTTAATCATGAAAATAGAGTGAATCTTACATCACAAGAGAAAGGGAACTTTCTTTACCTGGTACAGGACTTGTCATAAAACATGAGAACCCACCTAAGGGAATGGCATTCTAGATCGTTTACCATCAGAAGATTGAAGGGTACAGGGGGAAAGCACCAAGCCATTACAACTACAGTATATAGCACTTTGATCAGAAGAAGGCATTATCAATCGAATGCTATATAGGTAGGGGGGTAGGTCAATGGTTACCTATACTGTACACCATCTAGAAACTTAATTCTGTGGACTATTTTGGGTACATGGGTTTAATTGCCTTAAATGATAAATAAAGCTATCTAGCATTGGCAAATTAATTTTCAAGAAACCTACCCAGATGAAATTGTTGCCAAATTAAATGATTCCTTTCAGTTATAGAAAAATAATTTAAGATTGCCTTAAAAGAGTGAAATGGCAAATGTTTAGCAATTTAGAGAATGTACAGAGGTGCTTGCAGCTAAGCTAATAACAGTACAGTACACAGTTCAGCCAATAATTCACCTTAAAACTTAACCGATCTGAAACAATTTAAAAGATAAAACTTGTGATCAACCAATGAAAAATCTTACCATCACTTTCCTCTTGTGGTGTGGCATCAATGACTTGCCAGCCACCATACTCGGGTCCAAGATCCTCCCTCGTCATCCACACTTCATTCCAAACGTGGAAGTTCCACACAGAGTCAGAGTTCAGACTCTCTATCACTTCACCCTCATTATCAAAGAAGTAATCAATGGTAAGGGAATTATGAGTATCGTGAGCCGAGGAAAAATTGGTAATCGAGCGGCAAGGGATGCCCACAGCCCTGCAGGCAGTGGTGACTACTCCAGAAAACACCCAACACTGTCCATACTTGACAGGTTTCTTTGTGTTGAAGTACTCCTGAAGGATAAGTTGAGAGCCACCCCACTTTGTCGGGGGAGTGCCGTCACTGTAGTCTGTACCCCAGTTGCCAACAAGAACACCCTCGTCATCTGGAGAGTTAACCTGCAACAATCATCATTAATACCATAAGATTAGGGAGGCAAAAAATTGCTCAATACTTTATGTATGCTACACATTAATTGCAAATTCTTATGATACCAATTAACTCTGGTATAACATAGTAAATAGTTTAGTAACCAACCCCTGCTGATATTGCTCGGGTCACTTTGATGGGATCATTTCTGTTGGCAGGTGACATCTTGCACACTGATGTGAGCATATACAGTACACACTCTAGAACATTTTCTTCAAACTGGGCAAAGTTCCAGGGAGAAGGTCGGAGGCGTGAGGCTGTACCTCTCCAGATGAGACCAGAGTCACTAAGCACATACTCTTGTTTCTCTGCTTCCCCTTCCAGGTACACAGCATCATCTGCCAAAATATACATGCATTATGTATACAGTATTACAGTATAGAGATTTAAAGCCTCTCCTCCTCTCAGGTTATCGGTCCCTTTAATTTTTCTGTGGTTATTTAACAGGATGCCACTTAAATGCTTCCCCCCCCCACAGAAACCCAGTGTTAAATAAAACTCCTCTTTCTGGTAAAGCCTCAGTGGCTCCCCATCTCCCTCCCATGTTTGTTCATTGTTTAATTGATCTGACAGTAGATGCTGGACCAAATGCCAAGCTGCCTAGTGATGGCATTTGTTATCAGGTTCTAGCTAGTTGCGAGTCTTATTCTGTATTGTTTGGAGAGTTATTGGGCATTAGTCGTTTATGAAGCTTATGAACTCTGCAGTTCATAAGTCGGTAAAGCTGACTTTCTGGATGGTTTCCTGGTGAAATGACTTTGCATCCTGTGCCTCGTGTCAAGGGGCCACGTTTTGGCTTTGGTGCCTGGTAAGCCATATAAATTTGTGCAACTGATCTGACTAGAAGACTGAAGCAATCTCGGCAAAATGGCTGCAGGGAGCCACTGGGGCTACTACAAAGAAATTTAATTTGTTGCATTTGTTATTTACTTGTTGCACATTACTGTACCTCCCATTTTGATAAAGAAATTGAATAAGGGACAGGCAATTTGGTCAAGATATTTCATCAATTTAATTATTATACAGTAACGCATTTTCTAATACAGTACAATCATGACTAAACCAGGCCAAAAAAAAAAAAAAAAAAAAAAAAAAAAAAAAAAATTAGAGATATATACAAGAGTTGTTACATTCTTGTACAGCCACTAGTACGCGTAGCGTTTCGGTCAGGTCCCTGGAATACGATCCCCTGCCGCGAAGAATCGTTTTTTCATCCAAGTACACATTTTACTGTTGCATTAAACAGAGGCTACAGTTAAGGAATTGCGCCCAGTAAATCCTCCCCGGCCAGGATACGAACCCATGACATAGCGCTCGCGGAACGCCAGGCGAGTGTCTTACCACTACACCACGGAGACTGGTGGAATACAAATTAGAATACTAGTCATGAATTATGCATTGGTTAGATAAAAAAATCAAAATTCTCTTCATTTTCCCTGCATTGTGCTCATTTGTATATACCAAAATTATAATACTGTATTGTACATTAATTAATATAACCCTCTGGCAAATGTGTCATTAAGAGCGAGCTTACATACACAATACACGTGAGCTTTGTTCCAATTTTTGCATTAAGATTTGTCAATTTACAGACACTATCACATACCTTTGCACCAGGGATTGAAGAGCATAAAGAACGTGTCTTTGCAAGGAAAACTATGGGTCTTCTCGCCAGACTGTACGTCAACTTCCAGTTTCCACTCTCCAATGATAGCACTGCTGGATGTATTCACCTGTATCATAGATAATGCTTTACAACAAATGAAATGGTTTCTGGAAATTGAGACCTTCCTCTGCTAATAAATGGCTGCCAATTCTGGGGCCCTCTCAACAAGGGGAAAAATTATGCATCTTTGTAACTACTCCAATGAAAAGATCTTCTAGGATTATAACCATATTTCTTGCATCCCACTGCCACAAAGGTTTTTGGATCCTGGGAACTAACTGCCATTAGTATGCCTCAAAAGCCCTCTCCCAATACAGTACTGTACTGAGAAAACTTGCTATTACAGATGATCACCTGATAATTACACCTTACTGTATCAAACAACCAGAAAGAAAAAACTAAATACAGTACCTTCAGTGTTATCGAGGAGTCCGATACATCCGTTATACTGGCAGACCAACCATTAGTTGACCCCACACCAACACCAACCCCAACAAGGGTCTGGTTTCCAAAGTTTGGGTTCTTGGCATCTTAGAGAAAAAACAATACGTTAAAGATACAGTATTATCTTCACAATAAGTTCAATAAGTGGGCAAAATTAAACAAAAATTAACTTTCAAGCTCATGTCACAATGCAGGATTTATGGCTAGAAGCTTTTCACCCAGTTATAAATCCATGGAAACCCCCCCTAACTGCCGAACCTGTAAAATGCCAAAACTTAATCCTGTTGGAAAAATCAATGGAAAAGGGGGCCTTTGACAAGCCGCTGGCTTCCAGTCATTGAAGCCAGTAGTGTTAGTGGTCCTTGGGTAAATACAGTATGCCTATTAAATGCCTACCAGCCAAAGCCCTAAATGCCAAGTCATTACTCTCAATTCAAAATTTGGAAATCTTCAGGAACATTGGAGATTGTGGGGGAAGAGGGGGTGGGGGGCCATTTGATTACAAGCTGCTGGCTTCCTGTCCCTGCCAAAGGTCACTAGAGATAGTGGCCCTTTGGTAAATTCAGGTAAAAGCCACCTTCCAAAATACTTTCATAAATCTTAACACACCGTCCAACTGCTGTGAATATTTTAAAGAAAATGATAATAGTATAATGTATTACATTAGTGTTGTCTATAGGAATTTAACCAAATATAATCGTTTCTATTAAACTATAGTTTGTCACTTTACAGGTATCCACATTATTCATGTTCATTGATATGTTAAATTAAATTCTTTATACTTTCCACACAAGTTTGCATGTACTGTGGACTATCCTTTTAACTAATAATTTTAAACAATGAAAACTAACCGTAAGTGTAAATTGCCTAGTTAAAAAACACATTGCGGATCAGTTCCAGTCTCCATTATGCGACTTTCCCCTTTATGGGAGAGAAGGATGGATTTAGGGACTAAAATCTCCCATTGGATGGATCTAGGGAATATAATAAACTAAACTACTAATTACACACAAGTCACAATAGAGTGATGCATAAAATGAACAAATCCACAAGGGCTGTGACGAGGGTTCGAACCTATGTCCGAGATGATCCCAGACGCTGGCCTACGTTATTCGAACGTAGGTTCGAACCCTCATCACGGCCCTTGTGGATTTGTTCATCTAACCTACTAATATTTACTAATATTTTAATTGGCAGTTATGCTATAATCTATTTTGAGATTGCTCACCAGCTACCGTGAAGACGAGAGAGAGCTTGTCTTTGTCCTTGTCCATGGTGTGGTTGGTGACGAGGACGATGGTGAACTCTTGACCTCTACGGATCACCAGCCGAGGCTTCTCTCGTTCCATCAGCTCGTATTGGCTCGTGTGGTGAAGGCCGCCATTGTCACCACTCACCAGGTTAAACTCCTTCACCACCAAGAACTCTGTCAAGATCAAACAAACCATCAATTATAAAGTTTTTACTACATGGACCTCTAGACTACATTCACTAGCCGAGAGAATCTCATTACTGGCAATAAGACTTAGTGTTCACACTGAAATGTTACACTAACGAGTAATGTGTTAGTTTCAGCTGAATGAATAGAATGGCCGCCATCCAGCATCTCCTGACTATTTTATGGTTAGTAGAGCGTTTTAACTTAAGCAATTTGCAAAATTAGGGCTGCAATGAATTTCCTCTACTTACCAATGACCTTTTGCACATCCAGCGATATGTAACAACCAATCCTCTATTATAACTTTCCCCACTATGGATCAAATATACTAAATAAGCTTTGCACACAAAGTCCCATACTTGTATAATTCCAAAAGGCCATAAAAAGTGGAACAGTTACCATAAACCTAAACTACGCCATCCTAGGCTTAATTTAGTATCTACTTTTATTATACCAAGCCTTGAAAAAGTTTAAGTTTCCTTTCTCGGAACATCTACAAAAATAAACTGTGGATCTCTTTATGGAGGAAAAGTCCATATTTAGTATTGGTATTTTGTATCTTTATTTACTATGGAGTCATCATATTTAAAAGTCAGGTTGCATACAGGAATGTGGAGAAATCTATGCAGGAAGTAGGAGGGGCAATGCAGATGCCTGAACACGCGAGAGGCACCAAGTGCAGACCTTGACTCCTGTTTAATACATGTTTTCCCCCCTGCTGGAATGTCATTAGCACATTGTATATGCCACACGTGTTGTAACCGGCCCACAGATGTATTAAGGCACTCTGGTGCAGCATGTCTGCCAGGTGGCCGTCATGATAAACATTTTCCCTAGATACAAAGTTGCCAACATAATATGCAGTAACATTGCTTCACCAGTTATACTCCACGTGTAGCATTAATTATTACGTAATTATACAGTTAGGTGCTATAATCAGCCGTTATGAGGTTGCAAACGCACAAAGTTTGTACTTTGGAATTTCCGTTAGTTGCTTCCATTATGCACCGTATATAATATTAAAGTGACATGTGACCAAACCTTTATATTTGCATTAAGAACATACATGGCCTAGATTTAAAGGTGTGAGCGGGATTTTAGGACATTTAGCTTATAGCGGTCTTCACATTTATGGAAATGCACAACTTTACACAATGGCCATTTAGCATTACTTTTACAAGTAAGTGACGAGCCAAGAGTTCCTAGCCATAACAGGCCTACAAATTAGTCACTCATGCTCGCCTTGCAAGTTTATGTTACCTTTATTTCTGGAGCTTCCTACGCCTGCAGCCTGGCTGTGGGCCAGGTTTTATATTTTTTTCATCTTTTTCTTAACCAAGGCTTTTTTTGGCAGCTGACCGGCTGATCCCGCACTTTCAGAACCTTAATTACGCCTTAAAATGATCAATCTTAGTTTTAACATTTTGTATCAGATGGAAAGTTAGAAAATCTGGCTTCATTTTACGCTTCCTATCATATCTTGCTCTTGTAAATTATTGCATTTAGGACTTTCCATATATATATATATTTATAACGCGAGATCAGGTTTATATTTAGATTTATTACACCAGTTAAGGAGCTTTACTGCACAGGTGCATGGTATAGGTTCTATATACATCTATTTTCGATTAGCTCTTGCTTTTAATGGCTAGTCTAGTGCAGAGCAGCATGTCAGATTGGGAAGGTAATGTTATGGAAATTACAAACGTTTTGAGAACCTTCAAAAGAAAGATTCCATCTTTGTCTAGTGTGTCATTCACCCCCCCCCCCCCCCCCAAATTGTCGGGACAGGAAGCCTTTACTTACCATTATCGAGGTCTCTTATGCCAACTACTTGCCTTCGTCAGGATGCACCCCACAACAGTTGTCAAATTCCTGGATATCTATTTACTGGTACGAGACACATCAGGTGAACAGCAACATGCCGAACCGTCTCAACCTGGCCGCGAGAACTTTACGTAGGTTCCTTTGTTGTGAACCTAGGACGTAGACTACTGCGCCACAGGACCTTTTGCAGTTTATCGTGGGGGTCTTTTGTAGCGAACAGTGTGTAGCCAAGATCATGAGAATCATTGCCTGGATGAAGATCACTTGTGTTGGGGTGTCTTGTGTATGAGGAGCCCCTACCACTGTCCATCAACAAGAACACCACCCAGCCTGCAACATTACCAACAACTCCTGGCCTCTATCATAACTGGTCAACAGCCCAGCAACAATAATTCACCCTCGTTTCTCCCACAAGGAAAAACTTTGCGGAGAAACACGCACGCAGCTTGGGTCGTGGTCCCTTTATTTCCCTCCATATAATTAACGTTTTAAAAGCATTTAGAAATCAAATGTTTATTACATATCTATTGAACAAGAACGTTGGCATCGTTCTATGCTCACAAGCAGGATTCCCGGGATCGACCCCAGGGCACGTCTCTTTCACCTAATGTCACTGTTCACCTTGCAGTAAATAGGTACCCGGGAAAAATTTATTGTGGGGTTGCATCCTGGCGCCAGGGACAGTTGTCCCCTTCTATACAACTATACAAACTAACACCTCTGAAGAATTCTAACCGATTCAGTCGGGTTTGAATCTTTCAGTAGTCAAGACGTTTTCGGTTGTATATTGGCTTTGGGATCTTTCAAACTTTACACAAGCTTAAGTATATACACACAGCTTTCCCTTCCGATAATTAAAACTACGTTCGGGCTATGGAAGACGGGATGCGAAGACGCTGGAGAAACAAGTGACCAGGTCAAGTGACCTTCACTCAGGTCAACACAAATTTAGGAGGGTAGAAAGCCTAAGCTATTATCCTTTGATTCATCTTTTTGTCCCAATAAACTTATTGATCCTGAACACCCAGGAACGGAAATTAAATGCCGAGTACTTGTCATTATTTTGTAGCCTACAATATGTCTAATGTATATCCGACCACCCCTCCTGCCGCTGAATCTATGTACACCTATGAACAAATACACAAGGGCCGTGACGAGGATTCGAACCTGCGTCAGAGAGCATCCCAGACGCTGCCTTGTGGATTTGTTCACTTGATGCATCATGCTATTGTGATTTCTGTGTTATGTACACCTATCTCCGAATCGCCTTTGTCAGGATCTAATATCCAGGTCGCTAGCGTCATATAAACTGGCGTTAAGTTAACCTTTGGATCAGGTTATAGAGCTGCTCCTCTCTCCATATAGTGAAACACTCTAGAAGATGGGGATCTGAGGACCAATGTCTTCAGAAAGTCTTGTTTCACTGCCCTACTGGAGAATTTATAAAAACTGCCTCCCACCCCCCTAATCTTAAACCATGTACCCCCTCTCCCCTCTATTACGCGAACTGTATCCCCCAATATCTGTCAATAACAAGTTCAAGTATGTTTATCGAGACAAGAAATGCATCTCAAAGGGATAGAGCCGCTTAGGCTATTTCTACCCCCCAATAATAGCACTAAAAAGTCCACTACGAGCTCACCATAGTCCGTGCTACTTTGAACTTTGTTTCAGGTAACGAATCTTTAACAATGGCACTATACTAGTACTATATAAAAAGTTAAGATAAAGCAACAACTATATTATGCATCCGCAGTTAACCGAACATACTTAATCTAAAATTAACTTGCATTTTCTATGCATCTGCCTCCACTTACACAGAGCCTTACACTAGGGGCCATTTATGCAAGAGTTATGTATGAACAAGCATATAAACTCCTATCGCCTGGCAGAGAGTGAGAGCCTTGCCAAGCCAGCACAAGAACATGCTTGTAAACGAAGGTTACACACCGTCACGTTGACTAATGCCAGGTATTTGGTTGACAAGCAGTCACAAGGAAACCTTCAGCACGTACAAAGACGATACTGACAACGCAGATTACCCCGTTTAACGTTAAAACTAAATGAACATTCACAACACATTGGTAGTGCTAATGAAGTTGTACAAGAACAAAGCTGGCGACAACATTTGCCCGCGTGGCACATCACTAACCAGCTCAACATGCCAATGTATTCGAAGATTCACTAACCTTTTAGTCTTTTTTACACGTTCCAACTAGCTGATATTTTTCAAACAGAAGAAAACTGCAAATTGTCATTGCTAGGCTTTTTGTACCTCTAAAGCGTCAAGGAAAATTTAAGGATGCCCAACTTGTCCTAGATAATACTTAAAATACCCTAGATAACCGACTTTACTATAATTACCATAAGTGACAAAGAATATAGCCTATAAAATTGTAACACCGCCACTAAATGCACCACTATAATGGAACACCACTATAATGGAACACTACTTATCCTGAGTAACACTTCCTCATCGGTTGCACTTGATAACACTTATGAGCTGACATATGATGCTTACAACGGAACCAAAGGTACACTGCCAATAAGGAAATGCTAACACAAGGATTAAATACGCTGCCACCATCTGCCTTTGACCATTGAAACTATATCAAGCAACGAGGCAAGAAACATTGCTTGACTAGGAGAGTACTTTCTATGACTCATTAATTTTGAAAACGGTTGTCAGCCACTATATCCAAAAGGCTAAGAGGATTCAACAATTGACACAGACGGGAAATTTAACGAGTTTATTGAGACCAAAATTATGTCAATCACCACTTATAAATCCTACTCTGACACTGGCAAAAAGTTAAGAAATTTGGACATGGAACAAAACCTCAGAGATCACACACATTACCTTAAGACCTCTGTCTCTCCCTGGCTGAGATGTTCTTCACAGACCCGCTCTCGATCCCGGTGTCCCGCACTCTGTTCCCTAAGTTCCTACAGGACCTCTATATACAACCCCCACAGGGGGAGGGGGAGATCTGCTGTTGCTACCCACCAAGAATGTACAAACACTCAAGAAATATTTCAATAAGCTTGTTTGACATTTACCATACACTCTTCAAGAGAGGAGTTATTAATTACGTGTGTGACTGACCTCTGACCTGGCCAAAAGGGGGAGATCCAAGGATGTTTACACATAAGAATCTGGAGTCTAATTCCCTTGCATGAAATATTACATACTTGAAACTATGCTGACTAAGACTAACCCAGGAATTTTTTTTAATATACAAGATAAACCGGAGGTCATCTGGGCTGACCTCTTGGAGAAGGCTTCCCTGGGTGTGAACTCTAAAGGGGGGGGGGGGTCCTGGGTGTTACAAAATTACGTAATTTAACATTGCCAGTAAGCTAGAAATTTCTCCATTAAATGTTCAGACCTGCTAATGGAAAACTTAATTGAAATGGTCCGACTGCTAGAATCCATTCTAGCAAACGTCTAAACTATTAGGACAGACTAAAATGCCTAAATCTGTATTCTCTTGAGCGCAGGCGGGAGAGAGACGCAATTTAAACGTGGAAAATATTAGAGGGGCTGGTCCCAAACCTGCAGACAAATGCCACACGAGACCAGAAGGCATGCCAGGATGTGCAGAATATCCCCGTTGAAAAAAAAATGGGGACTAGGTCGTGGAGACGTTGAGCCCCGAAATCATCGCAAGGTAACCTCGAGCTGTAAGCTATATTTTAACCAGTCCTATAAAATCGTATTTTGACAGTACCCAAAGCCCAAAAATCTTACTTTAAATGGTAGCGGCTCGAGAAATTGACTGTCCCGTTTTCTGTCCTCTGGTAGGTTAGGATAAAGGCACTTTAATACAAGTTTCTTTACTTTGCGAAACCCGAGGACGGGCTGAAGGCTTGGCATTGAATAAGTTATGTAACTAACCTCACAAACGGTATCAAGAAAACATTGTGTAGACATCTATATCGTTCCTCCAAGTACGGTCTTTGCAAATTAGGATCGCTAGCACTGATACATCGTAATATAGCATGTTTAAGATTCGTTACTTGGAACACAAAGTTCCAAGTAGCACGGGCTATGGTGAGCCCACTGTGGACTTACCTGGCACAAGAGTGGATACAAGTGTTTAAAGAGGCCTCGCACCTTACTCTACACCTTTATGGGCATCATGACCGGAAATGCCACGCCAGTCTTCCACCGACACCGATATTTAATTTATAAGATACCAGGAGCCATATTCACGAAGCAGTTACGCAAGCACTTACGAACGTGTACATCTTCTCAATCTTCGGCGGCTTTGTTTACAATTATTAAACAGTTAATGAGCTCCGAAGCACCAGGAGGCTGTTTATAACAGCTCACTGGGAAGTTTTCATGCTTTTAAACTGTTTAATAAATGTAACCAAAGCCGTCAAGGATGGAGGAAAAATGGGCACGTTCGTAAGTGCTTGCGTAACTGCTTCGTGAATCTGGGCTCTATGACGCCTTTATGTTAGGCTTGAAATCGCTTTATGCCTCTCTTTCCCCCCCCCCCCCCCCAGGTGCTCCCACCGTCACTATGCTGTTGTACAGACTCGCCCGAACCAAACCAGCCAAAGGACCCACTAACAGAAAATGGAAAAAACCACGTTAGTTTTAAGAGCTACCTATTTTAGTGGAAGAGTTTCTGGCCTTCTACTAAAGGAGGGAGGGATGGAGCTAATTCAGGGAAAAGTGCCAAGTCATTACGACTATATAGCACTTTGAAGGGGTCAGGATAAGGATTGGGATGAGACGGAGGGAAGGAATGGTGCCCAACCATTTTAACGGTCGGGGATTGAACGCCGACCTGCATGAAGCGAGACCGTCTCTACTGTCCCTCCCCCCCCCCCCTTCCTTAAGTGATTGGCCTTAGGGAAAATAGACGTAAAATTGCGATGTATTATTCAAGTGTGGGCCTCATGCCTTGGACCTGGCGACACCCGCGCTGGATACAGCAGTACATACCACTGGTGCTTCAAGGTCACCTCGTACAACCAAAAGCCCTCAAGCGTAGCAGGAAACTTACAACATACAGTACTACATTAAAACAAGGCAAATTTAAACAATTACAAATAAAATATGACGAATTCGGCATAAACTTTATATGGTTTTAATGCATAAGCAATCAGTCCGTCCTCCTAAGGTGCCCAACGTCAAGAAGTCAATTTAAAGTGGTCTCTCCTAACCAACCAGAGGACCCAAAACAGAAAATGGGACAGTAGTCACTTTCGCCAGCCGCTTCCATTTTCTAGTACACAATTTTTGGCCTTGTGTAACGCATACTGAGCTAAATGCGACGTTCTTTGTAGGGGGACAGATTGATTCGCTAGCTTCGTCTAACTCATGCCTAACTAAATCTTGCCTGTCTCCACCCTCTCACCTTAAATATCACTGCTGTACAATATAAAATACTAAAAAATCTAAAATCATGGTCACAAACTTATAACTTTAAAGCAGTAACCATAACAAGACAACTATTGCATCAATTAAAATCTAAAATTATGAAAGAATTCTCATCTACCAATACGCTATACATAATATATACTTACATATGAACACAATTAGTTTTATGATGCTATGACTGGTGTTGAACAGCGTCTCTTCTGGAATACTCTTCCCCAGTTATGTATAATTATCCGTGTCAATTACCAATTACATATAATTTTATGGTTATAGATGTCTATAATATATAATTCTGAAGCATCAAGCAGTGTGAAGCGATAAACGATTGTATTAACTATAAAATATTACATATTTAAGCTGTTGACAACGCCATTAGCAATGCCGAATTATTGAAACAAGAGTTAGCAGCTTTTGAAGCAAAGTCTTTACAAATTAAATGCAAGGAAGCAAATTATACAAAGCTATTTACAGCGGTAGAAGCTGTAAAACAGTTACACACATACCTCCCAGAATCCCCTCTATGATTACTGCACCACCACCGTCCAAAAAATAAGATTGAATAGGAGAAAAAAAAAGTTTTAGCATGCCATACATTTAAGTTTGAAATAATAGTCTAGCCTAAATTTAGAAACTGGAAGAACCTGTTATAAATTACTTGAGTAGTTTCACAAGTTTAAATCAGATTAATTTATGTATATTATACAAATTTGAAGAGTTACTTGGTTAAGACTAGAGTAAAAATGTGGATGCATGCTTATAATTTACTCTAAAAAAGAAAGCAATGAGCTAGAAAATGTTCATTAGTGAGCACATTCATTTACAGAATAGAGATCAGTGCCTAATACTGAAATGTGTAACTTAACTAATATTAGGTTACTTTGCCGCTAAACCGACATGCAGAGTTGCAGTGCCTGCAGGTGTAAAACAATTGCAGAGTCTGTAGCGTTATCTAAATCTACAGGCAAAGATATCCAAACTTCTCCAATCAATCTTATAATTACGTACATGAAATCTATTTGCTTGCATTGCGAAGTTTATAGTTAGACCCAATACCGTACTGGATTCACACAATGCAAACATTAGTGTCAATATTCTAAGTTATCTTTAATGGGTTTACTTTTAGCACAACCTCAACTTTGTATGCTTTATTAATTATATTGTTTGTGAAGAGCCGCCACCAAAAGTCCTCAAGATCACACTGTGGCGTCTAAAAACTAACCTTGTATCAAAATTATGTGTACAAGCATGACCAAATCTACCACATTGAACTATCAACCTTATTTGGTCTGGGGAAACTCTCAATGTTACGAAATGCACCAGTATGACAAATAACAGGTTTCATAATTTATTTCGCAAACGGTATCGATCCATTTTCTGCGTTTTGAATTCAACAAATTTATTACACATTTTATCTGAGCTGAAAAGTTATTTGTTCAGGACTTTGGTCATTGTAGCCTACAGTGCTCTGCAACCCCCCCCCCCCCCCCAAAAAAAAAAAAATAACCACTCCCTCTCTGCAAGGTCAAGGTTGTTCAGCCCAATACCTCGTCAACTATCTTTTCTATATATACACAAAACCACACTTTACTCTTGTGCACATCAAAACTTAACAAATTCATGGCTGCAATGTTCATGGCGACATTAACGTTTGTGTTCGGCGACAAAATTAAGCCAAAGTAAACGAGAGAAAAATTAAAGTGGTGTCTAGATTTTATGTTCAGAAGTACATTAGTTTTTCCCATGTAGGGGAATTTTTGAAATATACAGTTAACTGGTCGGGGGTGCGAGAGGGGGGGGGGGCAGTCCAGTCAGCCCCCCTCCCCCAGCTTAAGCCTTGCCCCGCCCCCCCCCCCCCCAAGGCTTAAGCTGGATCTGGTGAAAGTCGACACCACTCCAACCCACATGCAGGACAACACTTAACTCATGCTTTTAACCAATTGTTAACGCTAACTGCGCATTCTAAGAATGTATTGGAACCCAGTTAAAAGAATTCTAGGAAATGACACCTCGCCTAATCTTGCGCCATGTGTCTGCGCACGTAGCCTGTTACGCCATGGTTGAGTACATGATCAATCATGTGAGCTGGTGTCTCATGATGCACTTTAGGTTTCCGCTTCTACATCACAAATTTTCAAGCTAATAACAGATGAATAAGTGCGAAATGTTACTTCAATTACCTCTGGAAGCTGTTCAAAAATTACCTTTAAATATATTTTACGACAAAACTTCTCTATTTCAAGACTCATCCCTAACTAGAGAACAGAGGCCTTGGTGACAATGACTTGCATAATTTGGGGTTGTAATTTCACCCACCAAAAAAAAACTAGAAAAACAAGATAAGGACAGGTTTGAATTTTGTATATTTAAGACTTTTCCAAGAAGATACTCTTACGTTATTTTGTGGAATGCAATTAGGAATGCGCAGGCATGATCAGTGATGCATATATTGTACCAGAGTTTGTTAATGGAATATATTAAAATGTCTAGTAACAAAACACTTGTCAACTGACAGCAGTTATTTGAAGAATAAAATTTAGTGCTCCAAGTCACCTAACTACTTTGCATGTTATGGTCCCCAATGTACAAAATAAGGTGTACTATGAAAAGCAACGACTAATATCCATTTTTGTGTGTGTTGGTTAGGTTAATTCCAGGGGACGGGCTGGGTTAAATAGCCGATTACTCCTGTACTAAATAGAACTATTCAACCCCGAACATTGAAGACCCGGCTATTTATACGAGCGACACTCTTAGGATTAAGTCACAGCCTCGCTCCTGTGCCAGGTAAGTCCATTACGGGCTCACCTTAGCCCGTGCTACCTGGAATTTTGTTCCCAGTAGCCGAATCTTAATCATAGGATTATAAGCCATCCGACAGGTCTGGGGGGAAGGCGTGTTTGTTAATTTTTCTATCACAGACGTGGCTATTATTCATTTACAACATTACAATGCTAGCTAGTACACACTTCTCAACCGACAGGAGAGGCTACATAGTAGTGTGTTTTAGTGATCATCTCAACTGTCGTGTTCCCCAGCACTCCATGCCGCTTACAGCGAAGAGGGAGGGGTAAGACCTGGTGGGGAATGTCTGGTTTGTCTTACTGTTGACTTTTTAATGTATCTGGGCAGCTGTTGGGAGTGGGGGGGGGGGGGAGGGGTGGAATAGGGTATTCACGGTTTGCTTGCACTGTCTGCTGGGAGAGGGGGGGGGTGATTGGGAGAGTTCATTCAGCTATTGCCAGCTTCGTGCCACTATAGTAATCTTATTTCAAGTCCACAATAGACTTTAGAATGGTCCAGGACGGACCGAAACGTCGTCGTCCCTTCACTTTCTAGTGTGTGGTTCGGTCAACGTTTTTCAGCCACGTTATTGTGACTCCTCTCCTGCTTATAGTAATCTTTAGTTTTTTTTTTGTATTGTCCAAGCTGAATGTTTCCATTTCTGTCCGTTTCCTATCACTTCACTTATAGTACAAACTTGCTTTGTCCACCTCGTCCCATTACCTACCGTCCACACCAAGCTTATGCTTCATGCTGGTGAAGCAAATTCCGGTATTACTAATCCCAGTACCTGGGAAGACAAAATTGAATAACCATTTTGCTTCGCAGACCACTTCAAATAAATATCAATTTAACACTGCAACCTTTCAAACTTAATTTAAGCCGTGGAACACACGAAATTTTGAAAGTTTTTAGCGCCTGCAATTATGGAAAAAAAAACAAGAGCCTTTTACAAAATAAAATCAAAGAGGAAGGTATATACACGTTATAGACCCGTGAGCAATCATGTCTAGACATTGCATTAACAAAATGGTAACGGCATACGCCAAGAAACTTAAGATAACTTCGCAGTCAACAGTACTCCAGGGTTGAACAAGCCTAGGACAATAAACAGGGCTATGATCTGGTTACCTGCTTGATGGGGTTCTGGGATTTCTTCTACTCCAAGCCCGGCCCGAGGCCAGGCTTTACTTTTGAGAGTTTGGTCCACTAGGCTAGATTGTTTCCTCCAAGGAGTGCCGGACCAACCGGGCTGTGGTGGGTATGTGGGCCGCTCCAAGGAACAGCCTAGTGGACCAAGCTCAAGTCAAGCCTGGCCCTCGGGCCGGGCTTGGGGAGTAGGAAAAACTCCCAGAAACCCCATCAACCAGGTAAACTCTTCCCCCCAACCTCATTACTTTAGGAACTATAACCTCCATGTTACCATATTGCGAGTACTGAACGCAGGGAAACTAACAACAACGGCTCGCCAATGGATTAAGGTGGAATAGATTGGCAAGGCCGTAGTGGTGGTTGTTCGTGTGCTGGGGGGGGGGGGCTGGGGGGATTATGATGGCATCTTCTCCCCCCTCCCCCCATGTTAGTTAGCCACACTGGGCACTGTTGCTGCGTTGGGCACCACATACCCAGGCAGGGAGGTGGGCTGACCAGAGCCCCGGTCCTCCCCAGGACGAACAGCGTCACCGACAAGCTATTTTAATCTGCAAATTAATTCGTGTTAAATTAAACGTTCTTGCACACGTTTTCCATTATGATTAAAACTGAATTTTGAGAGTAACACAATGTTGAAGTTTTAGTTCAGTTACCCACAGCATGGGTACCAGGTACTGTTATAAAGTATGTAGCGGAATATGGCAGAGGCATATAGACTAAATTATTTGGGGTTAAATCCCTAAGCGAATTACAGTCTGATAAAACTAGTTACTGTACACAGTTAATGTATATATTAATCTAAGTGTGTGTGTGTGTGTGTGTGTGTGTGTGTGTGTGTGTGTGTGTGTGTGTGTGTACCAAATTGGAGACCAGCGGGGCTGGCATCGCTCCAATTTGAAGAGGGAAGGGTCTGGGGTATACGACGGACATAGGCATGTCGGGATAGACCCAAGTTAAATGCTTTAAGAAACTTAGGCGTGTTGGGTTACCGGCCAAGTTATTTTCATAAAATCTGAAATGGAAGAGATTAAATGGGGCGCGTGTTGTCCCTATCGTGTTCAAGTTACCAGCCCATTTTAATTTTTTTTTACTTTATACATAAATGGAAATGTTTATCTGTTCGAGGCTGGAGAGGGGACGTGGGGGAGGGAGGCAAGGGAAAGCACCAAGCCATTACGACTATATTGCACTGGGAAGGGGTCAGGATAAGGTTTGGGATGGGACGGGGAAAGGAATGGTGCCCAACCACTTGGACGGTCGGGGATTGAACGCCGGCCTGCATGAAGCGAGACCGTCGTAGGGAGAATTTTTTTTAACACATTAGTGACTTAAGGTATGCGAATAGTTATGTTTAAGGAAGACTTGAAGGCTGCAGACTCCTTTTCCAGAGCTGTGACGTCGTTGCACAAGTCGGCAGCCTTCAGGTAACTCCTAAACTGTCCGAGGCAAAGGTCAAAGCAAAGTTAGAAGGTAATAATAACCAATTTCCATACTTTGGAGGGATAAGCAGTCTGAAAACAACCGAGAAACAAAATTCTAGCCTTATCAATCTAAGAGCCCCATGCTTTGTCTGTTCCATCACGCATTCAGATAC